TTCGAACTCGTGTATTTACCTCTTTATTTATTTGTCGTTGATATACCGATTTTCGCACAGTCATGTCTCTAACGAAATAATTTTCTTTAACAAGTGGTGACGTTAAAGATAAAAAAGCGGAGTAACAAAGAAGCGTTATGGGAAAAGAATGGAGGAGAAGGTGGTACGAGTATTATGGCTTGTGTGTAATAGCCCTTGGATTAGTCCACTCTGAAATTTTAAAAAGATCAAAAATTTTTTGCTTAAATCGATAATTTAGGGTTTTAAGAATATAAAATTTTTTATCCGAAAGTGAAATTTTTAATATTAACGAAGATACAGTTATGTCGAGTGGTGCCTCCACGCCGCTGTTAAACTGTTCCATTTATGAATAGCTATTATTTGACGTTATAGTTACATATCTGTACTGTAGATGAAGTTGACACACAATTTTAATATAGAATATAGCAGTTTCGGTTAGAAATCAGTGCGTCCATGTGCTTAAAATACGACAAAAAGGATGTTGAAACTTTAATCGCGTTTTTCTCAGAATGGTACTTTCAAAAACGGACATCAGAACTATCATAAAATTAATCCAAATGCTTAGAAATTTAGCTCAGTTATTGTCAATCGTGTTATCTAAAGAAATACCTCTGATTTTTGAGATAACTTAGATACTTTTTTGTTATTCATATTTTTATGTCAAATTTTTACGTGAAGAATCTTTTTTTTCATGCATCCATCATTTTCACATTTTTTCAATATTTTTTTATTCTGTCAAATATTGTATTTCTCTAACAAATTTAATGCAGATTAAAAATAATTTTTTAATTTTTGGCTACAACATATCTTGGACTTGTTCTGCTGTCCACCGCGAATGTCTTCATCACATGCAGGCATGTGCAAAAAATGTGCTGTAACGCCGCCATTTTGTTTCTTATCATTTTTAAATATTTTGTACATTAAAATACAAGTAACTAGGTATAAAAAGATATTTTGTACCATATCTAACTTTTTAATAATTATCTCTCAAAGTAAGATATGATTTTGAGCAGGCTTCCAGGATAGACTAATCCCTCAATATCAGATCCGCTATTAGATGGCAAATTCTAGTGATTTTACTTATTGAATTATTTATTCAGTAGCTTGCCGTTACATATAATACTAATTATGCTATAATACACAACACCATTTATTATATCTCATTTTTCTTTCAAGCATTTTGAAATGTTTTCCACATACTTTTCAGCATTATTTATTTCAGCATTAATTATTACACATCCTTCCTTATTCTTCTTAAACTTGAACGTATTATTATACAAATATATACACATATATATATGTTTGAGTATGTTATTTATTATTTTATCGTTTGTTATTTATTTGTGTGTATGTATTATTTTATTTAGCTATTTCGAGTTATACACAATTAAACAATAGAATAATATTTTGTTTATATGGCTTCCTAAGCGTGTTAATTGCTGATGGCCTCTCTTTCTTTTTCAAGATTTTCATATCAAAATAATTAAATCGATTGTAGTTCATAATCTATAATTTATGTGTTATATGTATTATAAATTTTTAGTATTGAGCAGTCTATATGCAGAAAAAGTCATGTGTTATATTTTGCAATTGTATATATTCTCAAAATAATATTTTACTTTTTTGTTATATAATTTTATAATAAATACTGTGCTTTTTTTTAAACAAAACCAACTTTTTAAATCTATTTTTGTGGAAGGTCACATTACTATTCCTGTTTTATTTCGAGCCATAATGCATTTTTATAAATAAAGTCCTATATAAAATATGTTTCAGAACTTTGAGTCTAGAATCGAATTAAACAACACTTTGATAAATGTAGTCGTTAAATTGTAAATTTCAATATTGATTATTATATAAAAGTTAAATGATAGGGAGGAACATACACCATCTTCTCCTTCAAGATTTACTTGAAAAACATATCCTTTAACCGCGTATATTCTTTGAAGATGTAATTAAATGTTGCTGAAAAGAATTCTGTTCCTTTTTTCTTCTTCGACGTTGAAACTTTTTGAAAATTATTTCGTCAGAAGTGTGACTGTGCGAAAATCGACAACATAAAAGTCAACGACAAATGACGACAAACGACAATGACTATGTGTAAATAAAAGACGAAAACACATATTTGAAATTTCGGTAATACTCTCGACATTTTGAAATTTCGATATTACATTCAAATTTAATAATTTTAAGAAACTTAAATATTACGTTTGTAAATAATTTACAATTCAATGTAACGCACGCATATTTATTATCGGGATTGAAAGAAATATAATAAATTGATACGTTTCGCTTGTTTTATTCCAAATGATATTATAACAAAGATATTATAACAAAGAAATCTCTCTGAAATGAATACGTTGGCAAACAACATTTTTGTATCGTCAGAATTGAATCACTCACAATAATATAGTTGAATTTTTTTTCTCGATTTTTAAAAACACGTTTAGGATATTTTAAAAATTTTTCTACAAAATAAAATATTGTATCTATAAAATTCTTTTTTAAAATCGAAAATCGCACAAATTACCGATCATATACAAACTGCAAGTACAGATCTTAATCAACACACAACGCTTCGATTATGTATATTGTTATCTTCATTATGCACGAATCAAACTTATAGAAAAGAAAAATGTTTTTAATATAATTAAAATAATTAAAATAATTTTAATACAATCAAATTAAAAGCATTTTCCTATATAAAAAAAATGAATAATCATATTACGAGAATAAGAAGGATAAGAAAAGCTAAATACATTGTTCTAAAAATTTTGAATTTGCGATTGTTTAATTCGCGCCTTTGGCTTTCTAAGCATTGCATCGCGTCTGAAAGTCGCTTTTTCGGATCGTTTGAAGTCGGCAATCAACTAAATTGCCTATCAACGCCTGAGAAGCCCGTTCACGCACTTCCCTCTTCCTCACATTTCCTTCCTCTTTCCATCGCACATATATACATACATATACCTTTTTCTTCTTTTTTTATTTGTTATAGATGTTGTTACTGTTGTAACTTGCTTTTCTAAGCAAGAATAAATAAATTTTTTACATCTTTCTTTCTCTCTCTCTCTCTCTCTCTCTCTCTCTCTCTCTCTGCCTAATTTATCGTAACTCGTCGCTAGCATATACTACATGATCAATATAAGTTGTTAATAAAAACACATTATATGGCTAACATAACGGTAGTAAGATTTTATCCTGTACCCTCATTTAAGACTACGTAAGTTTTAAGACAAAAACGAACAAATGAAGCATACCGAATAAATGCTGTAAGACGAGGTGCCAGAGTGACATTTGAATGGAACGGTAGAACCTTTGTATTCTATCTGAAATCCGACACCCGAAAATAGTTCTCAAAATTCGTCCTGTTCCGCGAAATCTCGGATACATCTCGGATTAAAAATAATGACGTAAGAACAATTTCAAGACGATATCAATTATATATAACTTGTATTATACAATGATATACCTACACAAAACTTTATATAATAAAATAGTTTTTGAACCTCTTTATACATTAAATTCACTGCATAATACGTTTAAGTTTACGTAAATCTTAATAATATGTATATAAATATTTAATAAATTTCGATTTAATACATATATTTGCTTAAAAAATTTTTATTTTATTTATATTTTTTGATATTTAAAAATATGAATTTTATATATTGTCTTTATTAAATTTAATTTTACATTTCAATTTTCATTATCTAATCTACTTAATCAGATTAATACTTAGAAGTAAATAAAATATTTAACATTTTGTTATACATGTTTTAATAAAATTATGGTTAAGATATCAATATCATTGACGAAGGTTGAGAACAGTTCGGTAACGGCCAGCCGACGTTTTGTGAGACATTGCAGGCCTACCTAACACTCAACTCATTATACCACTAATTATTCATAACGTTTGGAATTATTCTGATGAAAAAAATCAATTCCCACAGTCTATTTCTTTTTGTTTTTTACTTCTCTGTGTGTGTGTGTGTGTGTGTGTGTGTATGTTGCATTTCGTTAATTACGTGTGCTATTGCTTGACTATATTTAATTAAAATAAGAATAAAGAATAATTACGTAGGTATAAAAAAAGAAGAAAATAAGTTGTTTTATGAAAATAAATTATTTGTTTACGTGCCGCAGGCAGCATTTTTGTGAAAATAGTTTCAAGTTATAATAAATGATAATAATTCGATTTTTGGACTGCTAACTAAATAAAAGTAATTCCTGCTTTGATCGATGTACACATTCAATTACTGTTGTATATATTGAAAATATAAGACAGCTATGCAGCTGTCTAACTGAATACTATTTTCCCAAAAATTCCCCCAGATTCTTGGCACATACAGTGTCGACATTGATGCGCGACAAAGGCGTGTGTCAATTTTCGGTAACTTGATCTTGAGTGGCTCTCTGTTAAGTGATAGCTGTAAGTGGCAGTTAAGTGCTCGTTTCACGCTAGAACGACGATACATCTATTAATTTACTTCAGAGTTTGTGAAAATAGAGGGTTATAAGTTCAATTTCATTCACAATTACCGAATGGTTCGCGGTACACATATTGATAAATATAATTTAAGGAATATTGATAAGACAATGATATTAACAATAATATTAAAGGTTAGACTTTTTAAAAATAATTAAAAATTTCGAAGATCATAAGTAAAAAATAAGATTTTCAAAGAATACGAAAGAAATATTTTCTTTTTCTTTTCAGCAGATACAAATTTATTTATTCAATATAGTTGCATATTTATAAATTATGTATAATAATAAAAAATAAAAATATTAATATTTTATAGTAATATATATATATATATATATTTATTTATTTATTTATACTTTATTTTATAGCAAAGAAGAACTTAAAGCTTTAAGCCGTTATTTTATTCTTTGAATTTCTAATACAAAATTTAGATACAAGTAGATTCAAATAGTTATTGCTTAATAAAAGCTCAAATTCACAATTATTGACTTACCATGAGGCGGCGTATGTTGTGTCGGGCTATGTTGATGATGATTCGTGGTAACAGCCGTACCAGGAAGTACGTGCTGCGCGTGTGCCGCAGGATGCAGGTTAACGCCGGGTGGCGAAGCCGGAAGTTGACCTGATTGATGTACCTGATGGTGTGTTACATGGTGGGCTGGGTGAGGATGGGGTGGCGGTAGAAAGGCAGCTGCCACAGCCGCCTGCGCATTCAGATAGGCCATCCTTGAGGCCGTAAGATTGCCCAGATTCCCCAAATTTCCCAGATTCCCCAAATTGCCTAAATGATTTAGGCTGGGCATATATTCCCATAATTTCGAGTGATGAGGTGCAGTCGGAGCATAGGAAACAGCCGAAACTCCGGCGGGTGGTGAGCCTTGCGGAGAGCCGCGATCAGTACCACTCCTATTTCCGGTACCATCTAGACCCAGCAGCTCCTGAATTGCGAACGCTGATCGCTGCTGCTGCTGTGGCATCTTCGTATCCTTTTTAATTGAGATCCGACTTTAAGCTTAGAGCGACATTCTTCATACTCTCGAGTATTCACAAGGACGAAGTCTAACCATTAATCTTCAATCCACGATATTTGATAATGGAAGTGTAAAGATGCTACAAGCGAATATTGAGCTGCGTATAGTGCCACCAGCTAATGTCAGAGTGCATTCGGGAATTTGTGGCTTTATTTACCGTGTTCTAATTGTTGAACTACAAAACGCGCGATTAGGTCTTCCAGATAGACGATCGTTGTTTGGTTTCTTCGAAAGATTCTTCTTCCGACGTTTAGGAACTCAATCGAAGAGAATCGTTGTACATTGTTTCTTAAAATACCTAACTGGTTTTCTAAGATTTAAACACAAAAACCAATAGACACTACAAAATTTTTAATCTGGATTACAAGAGCAGTACCATTATCATTCTTAATAATTAGTAATTTTTACAAAAATTGTCAGCATTAACGAAGTAACATCTTCAAATCTGATAGGCCTTAACATCACTCTGCTTGCAGCGATTATTTCCACAAGTGCCTGCTTTTTCGAAATTTCATATCTTTGACATAAGGCCGTTTGAAATTAGATTTACAGTCGTATTGTACGCGATTAGCATAAAAGAAGCTCAAACATCTAGTAAGCTTTAAATATTTTCTGCTTATAGATGTATATAAGAACAAAAATTTTAAAATAAATATCTGTAGTAGTGCTCACAATCAGTGACAACAGAATAGGATCCGTGATTCGTTGTAAAAAAAATAAAGAATGTCACCAGCAAGTAATCTTTCTCATTCAACATTCCATGACCGTCGGCAAGATGAATAATACACTTCCATCAGACGAAACGCCAAATCTTACTTACTTTCGTTTTAATCATAATCTATAACTTCTGCTCGCGTTCTTCTTCGCTTCACTTCGACGAAGTGAATGTTTTCGTTGTGATCAGGTACAGATTGCTCTGTTTTGTTGCTTGTTGCGACACTATTTTATTGCGCGTAAATGTGAATCTTTTTCAATGTAACTCAAAACTATGTCTCTCCTTTGGATGAACACTAAACAACACACGCTAAAAATGTCACGCGTAATTTCACTCATAAAAGCACATGCGAGCTTAAGATAATTGGTCCATTCTCTGCAAAATCGCCTCCATTCTTCGAAAAAAAATGTATTAAAATTTAAGAACAAGAGGTAAAATTTTATTTGTCAGACTTAATTGGAATAATACTGACTTCCCAAAATCTGATGACTACTGATTTTGAGAAAAAATGCTAACAAAATGATCAGAAAGTGATCGATATTGTTCCAAAAGTTTCGGCAGAATTTATCAACCTCCTCGATAGAATGCCTCGGCCGACATGTCTCTTGAATACATTTCCATTATTCTGAGCGCTTTTATTGCGCCTACATCTATGAAGATACGATCCACCGTCGGCAGTTGATTAAACCAAGTTGAATGTTTTCGAATCACGGAAGAATTTTCAGTTATCGCATTTTGTCGGTGCGTTCGTACAAATTCCAAATTTCGCTCCAATTTTCGTTGTTGAAACGCACGTTCGTTAACACCACAGTTGCTGGCAGCAACTTCGTGTGTGAAGAAGAGGAAGGCGTACGCGGCGTAGACAGGACCTCGAGAAATGGTCCCGGTTAGAGCAGCTCGAGTATTTGCCGTCGTGGCAACCGTGTCGTCGTCGCGGCGTTGGACAACTGAGCGGTCGAATAACGCGGGGTTGCTCGATGGGTGCGCGACGGGTACGAAGAAGGGAAACCCCAGAGGCGACTGTACGAATACTACATGCACCCATACACATACCCTTTACGCTCTGAGGGTGGTGTTTGCCCCATCCGTGCGCACAACTCGTCAACTCGTGCCTGGCCCCTCTCTTCCTCTATGCCCAACGACTCGCTCACCACCTCTCCCTCTTTTGCCCTCCGTTCTGCGACCCCTCGTAGACCCAGGCGACAAAGGCGCCTCCGCTACTTTATGCGTTGGCAGTGGCCGTCTCGTATCGCGGATTGGTCGGCTTTTTGAGACGGCCAGCCGAGTAGACATAGCCCTAGTTACCAACGAGAAGGTGGGGTCTAGCAATGTCGACGCCTCAACGTGGCTACGCCTACGGCGGGGCGGTTCACCATGGAGAAAAGAGGGACTTTTCGTACTCAATCATGGATACTTGGAGAGAGCAAGCGATGCCAGGCAGCCGTGAATAAACGTCGACCTGGAGCTGAGTTGGGTGAGGTATAACGGCCTGTTTGTGACCTTTGCTATCTTTCTTCAACCTTATTCATTTTATTATTATTCTTATATACATTTTTTTTATAACATCTTTTTACAACACATCTGCATACATTTAACGTTATTTTATGGCTTTTTTTTTTAATGTTATATGAAAGATATATCTGACTGATATCTGAACTATATAAAGATTTGTAAAATCAGTTTAATGGTACCTTTCATCCATATCTTTTCCTATATTTGTAATATAGGAACTAATTTGAAAGTTTGAGAGAATGAAAAATATAATTATTTATCTCATCCATTCTGACTCTTTTCATAAACGTATATAATAATATTTATGAAAAGAGGTCCAACAAATAAAATTCTTAGTATAATGCATCACATCGGATAGACAAATAATTTATATATTAATTTGTTATTACAGCGCAGATCTGATAATGGTTAGATTTATTAGATTGTGAGAATTCATGATGTAACGAAATTGTTTATTTAATTAATTGATAACATGAGCTGAAAATGATGTGGATCATATTGAATTCATTGTACTGCCATTATATCATAAGCTATCGGTATTTCCAGGTAATTATAAATGTACGCTCTCTCGTTTCTATTGTTAAATAATTCATCAATAATACTACAATTACGAATATCAAATGATTGTAATGTATTTCATTTTAAAGGCGCTTTACGTATATGTACAGTAACTAACCCTTTATATCTAAACTTATTCTGCAAGTGTTTTAAATGTAATTAAATCATTTCTTTTTATTTTAATAACAAATAACATTTAAATTATTTTAAATTAATTTACAGTTTGTAATTTTTGACTTTTATATCTCTAATATTTATTTGATTTTATAATATAAATATGATTAGACGTGCCTTCTGCTATTTATTATATTACATTTACGTAACATAATTTTAATACTAACTTTACTTAATGTCGTAAATATGTAAAACAGTCTATTAGAAACCATTTATACAAAACATTGCTTATTTTTTTATCAAATAAATAAAAAAACAAAGATAAATAATAATGCGGTATTACTACACTAATATATAAATATATTGTACGCTAAATATTAATAACACATATTTTGAAGTACTTTTTATATAAAAAATATTTTTTTAAATTTGATTTTTAATAAATAGTTATTTTGTATTTATTAAATTTGATATGTGCACTACATAATGAAATTATAATTACGAAAAATATATTAATATTAAAATACATTTTATTTTATTTATATTAATATTAAAATATAAATATTTGAACTTTAGAAATTATAAATTTTTTATTATCAACATTAAGAAAACTACTGAATATTTAACATCGTTGATCTACATTACATTTAGCAAAGCAACAGTTGTGGCGTTGTAAAACCGGCTTTCGTTCAAAGCCTTTATTAACACTGTGGGAGTGGTCTAGGTACCGGCCAATCAGAATACGCCACTTCCAACCCTCATTGGCCAGAACACAAATCGATTTATAACTCACTCTGATGGTGAGCGAGCATGGATATACGCCCTTAAAATCGTTCTGCTTAAAGTCTACTCTTCTTGCAACTCTGGCAAACCTGTCGTGACTTCCAACACCGCCAATTCAACTGTAGATAGGTGGCGGTGAGCTTGGAGTAGCGCTACAAGCAAGAGGTGGTGGTAAATTGGAAGGGTGGAAATTTCTGATCCCCGACAACATTCCCAATAACGTCGAAAGATGTTTTTTCAAAAGTCTCTAACGCTCTCTGTAGTCAATCTTTAATCAAAATTGAGCTATTTAAAAAAATGAAATTCTTTTTTATTTTATACTATAACTCTCTTCCTTTTTACTTGTTTGTTGTTGTTAAATTGTTTCTATTTTTAATTTCTACTCTTTGTTTTTTTATTTTTATACTTTTATGCTTTTAGTATTATGCATATTTTTGTACATTTTTATTTCATTCATTATTATATTTTTCAAAATGGCCAAAATTTTCTTTACATAAATAAGTTTCTATTATAAATTTATATCTTATGTGAAAATTAATTAAAATATAATAAATTAATTTTTTTATCAAATGTTTTTATTTTATCAAATTTTATTACAATACATATAATAACAATATTTACGCATAAATCTATCTGCAGAATGCGCATAAAAAATTTTACATACATTAAATTTAACACACACATGCACGCACACACACACACGCGCATACACACGCATACACACACGCACAACACACGCACACACACGCATACACACACGCACACACACGCACACACATATCAAATATGTATGAATGTATAAGATCAGAGGGTTTGCGGGTTATATCGTCGTGTCTTTATCCATTGCTAATGTTAACGTTTCATGGACCTTTCTGTTCACTTCAAGATAAGGAGCGCACTGATACTGACTCCATGTTTAAAAAATATATACATTTAAAAGTCAATAAATTTATTATTACGATAATAAAATTATTATACAATTGACTGTAAATCATGAATTATATTAATAACATCAAATTATATAAATTATATTAATAAATAAAATTATGTATATATAATTTTTTTAATATAATAATATAACTATTACATGCTTTATTCTAAAATTAATGCATATCGAAGACGGCATCCATCTCCAGTAATATTAAAACTTAGTATGTAATGTATTAAAATAAATATAAATTGTAATACAAGGCTTGAATGTACAATACAATAGTACAAAGTTGATAATAGTAAATAATAGATCGTAAATAATCAGAAGTTCTTTTTAGAGCCGGCCCTTTTAGAGTTTCAAAGAGATGTCTTGTGTTTCGTTTCACTAAAAAATTCTCGATTTTTTTTCTCTGTTCATTCTTTCA